GAAAAATTAAAAACACTAAAAATGTACTCAAATTACAAGAAAACTAATTTAGAGTAATTTGTATTGTAAATGCCTTTATAACACAATTACAACATGTCTTACTGACTATTTAAAAATCAAAGCGCATCAGAATTCAACTATCATCATCTGCACGAACCTTTAAAATGATTTTAGTTAAAATCTATGAAAAAACTGCAGTGGAAATATACAGATACGAGAAATTAAACTCAGGGACACATTTTGTTTACCCTAAAATAAGTTGAACAGAGAGTTCACGTGTATGAAACTGAAAAGACAGTGCATATCTAAGTAATTAATGCTATAATCAAGGTTATATATACAACAGGGACTATTAAAAACTAATCACCATCTAGAACAGATATATGGATCTACAACTATCCTAACTAGGGGTATGCAAACTTCGGATAATTTTCGGTAAACCGACCAAACCGATAAAGTTCGGTTAACCGTTTTCAAACCGAACTTTTTCGGTTCGGTTAATGGTTAAAAGAATTTTAAAACTTCAGTTAACGGTTAATTCGGTTCAAAAGGTCGGTTAACCGAACGGTTAACCGAAGTTTTTAATATATATATATATATATATATATATATATATATATATATATATATATATATATATATATATATATATATATACTAATTTGAAGTTATGGATGTTTGGAGTTTATAATTCATGTTTTTTATATTTTGTTATGAATTTATTATGATATGTATTTTATTTTAATTGGATTTGTTAGTTTAGGTGTTATTTTTAAAATTTTAAATTTTAGCTTTAAAAAGTTCGGTTAATCGGTTAACCGAAAAAAATTTCGGTTCGGTGAATTCGGTAGAGCAAATTTCGGTTCGGTTAACGGTTAAAGAAAAAAAAATTCGGTTAATTCGGTTCGGTTAACCGAACGGTTAACCGATTGAACACCCCTAATCCTAACAGCAAAATGAGGAAAATTTTGACATCAACAATTATCGGGGGCAAACGTAAACAAACCAGACCATTACCAGGTATTAACACATTATTTGTTAGAGTTTTTTTATTCAACAATACCTGCTTTTTTTACCACCCTGCTAAATGACCTTAATCTTCATTGCTTTTCTGTCCATTTCCTGGAAAATCATAACGGTTAATACATGTAAAAGGATTAAGAAATTATTTCATCAACAACAGAAAGATTAACTTTCAAGACCAAGACCAACACTTAACTTGCAGATAACTTATAAAAACCAAATAAAAAAACCCAAAACCACACTTACCTTTTCGTAGATCTTCCACACTTCACTCCGTATGCGTTCTAAGGAGAACATAGCACTCCAAACACCCAGATCTGTACTCAGATCTGACATGCATGTCTTCTAACTTGTAGATACATACACTTTAGGAATTGTAGATGTGTGTATCGCGAAATTGCAGTCAAAATAAAGAAACAAAAAAAGTGAAGGTAGCTTCAAACAACTAGGATCACGCAAGCGCGGAACTAAAAAATGAAATGAATAACGATCGGTATTCAAAATCCGGGAAATGGATTACAGATTGGTGCGCGATATAGCTTCAAATCGGACATCTCCGACTCATAAATGTGTCGGAGAAGATAACTATTAATAAAGGATTTCATCTCCGAGATTGTTTAGAGATGTCGGAGATGCGATGGAGATGGGAGAAGACAAAACGCCAACGTGTATATATTTATCTAACATAATAAATATTTTGTAATATATATATATATATATATATATATATATATATATATATATATATAATTTAAAATATAATATGTATATTTTAAATTATTATATATTTAGAGTATTTGTTAAATAAAAGTTATGTCAATTTATGTCTGTTTAATATTAAATTATTTAACACACTAATAATCAATGGATGTAATGTATTTAAGTGATATATGAAGTGAAATAAGATGTTATTTTACTATTAAATGTAATAATGATTGATGATTGATGATTGATGATTGATGACTGATGATTGATATTGTATTTGTGTATGAATTTATTTGAGTGATACATATCGACAACTTACTTAAAAATTTTATAAACTGAGAGATTTTTTTATTCTTATTTTGCAAATGATTATCATTGTACTATAGATGAGAACACTGAGCTAGACCAGATTGAATCAAACAGTAATGCTAAATTAAAGCGAACATTGTACTCATCCAATCCAGATACACATTCAATGCATACACCAATCACTGACGCAACTCAAGGTAATGTAACAATTATATATTTTAAATTATTATATATTTAGAGTATTTGTTAAATAAAAGTTATGTCAATTTATGTCTATCTGATATTAAATTGTTTAACACATTGATAATCAATAGATGTAATGTATTTAAGTGATATATGAAATGAAATAAGACGTTATGTTATGTCTATCAGTAGTTAAAATGGTTTGGTGACACATTCTTTTTTTTAAAAAAAAATATATTCACAGTTGGAATGAAAGAATGGGATACATCTACCCGTCAACCGTTCGCGGATCTTACTAACGGTAAGTAAATAGTTTATTAATCGTAACAAATTATTATTGAATTTTTTTTAAACAAATCTTAACAATTTTTATATTGTTCATTATGTATGCTCAAAACACTTAATAGTAGCAACTACTCAACAAACATTTCCACTTGGCGGAAGTGGTGCACACAAATCAAATGATCAGGCCCATAAGATCAGCTCAATGCGTAATATCATGAGTGGTAGTACTGGACCCAATCTTACATATATGAATACTCTCACCAACAGTATTCCCTTCCTATTAATTTGAACACTATGTTATTTGCTACTAAATTTTTATTATTCGTCTTATTTGCTACTGAATGAGTGAATAAGACTGCAATATTTATAGTTAAATGTCACAAATACATATATTTTCTAAAGTTAAATGTAATGATTGATATTGTATTTGTGTTGAATTTATATTTGTACGTGTCACACTACTAATTATACAAATATGTACATGTTACTTTAAAAACTTTTATTTATACAGATTTTTATTTTTTTGTGTACCCTTCTTTTGGAAATGAATATCATTGTGCCCAAGATGAGAACAATGAGATAGACCAGATAGAATCAAGCAGTAATAGTAAAAGAAGAGCACTATACTCATCCAATGCTGCCACTCAAACAAAGCATACACCAATATGTGTCGTAACTCAAGGTAATGTAACCCATCAAAGGATGTCATGTATTACACTAATATGAAATGAAATACAACTTTAAAGTAGATCAATAGTTAACATGGTTTGGTGACACATTAGTTATTTAAAAATATGTTAACAGTTGGAACGAAAAAGGGGAATACATCTTTCCGTCAACCTTTCGAGAATCTTACTAATGGTAAGTAAGTATTTTATTAATCATATGTACAGAGTATTTTAAATAGTATTACAAATATTAAGAATTTTAATATTGTTCATTTGCTATGATGTTGTCGCTAATATGAATATTTTTTGTTATTTAAATAGTCACTACATACATTATATCGCATAGCAGCTGTAGTAGTAACTTGCAAAAGGAATATGAAGGAGTCCTAAATCATCATAATACAACTGTAAGGGACCTATTATGTGATTTCGAAAATGTCGACACTACCAGTAATGATGAAAATAGACTGATACAACAACCTGGTAAGTTACCTTCAACTATAATTATAATAGTGTGTGTCATAGTTATCATTTGCACTTACAAGAATTCCTCTTGCACATCAGTTGAATATATGGATATTGGAGATCCAAGTTACAGTTGTGAACATTGTGGGGCTCTTTTTTGGTTTGAAGAAAGGATGAACAAGGCTGTTGTTAGAGGGACTCCAAAGTATTCACCGTGTTGTACCCAAGGAAAGATTAGTTTGCCACAACCTTCAACCCCTCCAAATGGTATACAACAATTGCTTTTCGGCGTTGATGAAAAAAGCAAGCATTTTCTCCGGCACATACGTTCCTATAACAACATGTTTTGCTTTACATCAATGGGCAGCCGTGTTGATAAAAAGGTGAATACTGTAAACGACCCACCTATATTCAGGCTATCTGGCCAAAATTACCATTTAATTGGTAGTCTTCTACCGCAAGAAGGACATCGTCCACATTTTGCACAGTTGTATATCTACGACACACAAAATGAGATAGCTAATCGAATACAAGCTGTACAGTACGACTATTTTTATGGTTTATTCACTACACTAAAGGATTCATTTTTAAAGTTTAAGTTGCAATTTTCATTTTTCTTAATATAAGTTCAAAACATCTTTTAGGCCTGATGGTGAAGATAATAACATACACACTGAAATAGTTAAAGACATACAAGGTGATTTGGACAAGCACAATGTGTTGGTGAAATCATTTCGGATGGCAAGGGCTGAATTAGAAAATAATCCACAGGCTGAAGTGAGGATGAAATTGCTAGGAAAGCGGATTAAAGATGCGAGAACATACAATTTACCGGCTGTATCAGAAGTAGTGGCTTTGATAGTTGGCGATCTTGAGCCAAATATGGGAGAAAGGGACATTCTGGTAGAAACTAATAGCGGCCAGCTAAAGAGAATCAGCACGCTAAACCCAACGTACTTACCGTTGCAATACCCATTACTATTCCCATACGGTGAGGACGGGTATATGGATGATATCCCTTTTAGTGTACTAAGAGGGTCTGGTTCAAAATGTAGACAAAGAATTAGTCCAAGGGAGTATTTTTCTTTTAGGCTCCATGAACGAGCATTGGAAACGTCTACTTTGTTGTATTCGCGGAGGTTGTTCCAGCAATTCCTTGTGGATGGTTACACTATGGTAGAGTCGGGGAAGCTACTTTATATCAGGACGCCGTAGAAAAGACTAAGGTGTGAGTCTTATAGTTGTTTAACGGATGCCTTGTCACGTGGTGAAGTAAACCCCGCTGCACAAGGTCGTACGGTAATTCTACCATCAAGTTTTACTGGTGGTGCACGTTATATGATACATAATTACCAGGATAAAATGGCAATCTGCAGGTGGATTGGATATCCAAATCTTTTCATTACATTCACATGCAATCCCAAGTGGGCAGAGATTGAACGGTACCTTTCGAAACATAATTTGAGACCTGAAGATTGGCCCGATATCATAAGCCGCTTATTCAAGCTAAAGTTGGACGCGTTGTTGACCGATTGTAAAAAACACAATCTATTTGGACCAGTGAGAGCAGTTACGTAACTAATTGTTAATCTATTCCTTCTAATTTCACGTACATTGCAAACTAAATGTTTAAACACAATACATTTGTTTCTCTAATACAGTGATATATACAATTGAGTTCCAGAAGAGAGGTTTACCACATGCTCATATCCTATTGTTCCTAGAGAAGAAAAACTCTACAAATGTGGTGGATGACCTTGACAACATAATATCGGCAGAGATTCCAAATCAAAATCTAGATCCGGAATATTACAATGTTGTAGGAGAATTTATGATTCACGGCCCCTGTGGATCAGCTAGGAAAAACTCACCCTGCATGGTTGCCGAGAAGTGTTCCAAGTATTTCCCTAAGAAATTTGTTAACAGCTCCAGTTTTGATGAAGATGGCTACCTAGTATATCGACGGCGGGATGATGGCCGTACGATAAATAGGAATGGAATTGAACTTGATAATAGGTATGTGGTTCCCCACAATCGGCACCTTCTCTTAAAGTACAAGGCTCATATTAATGTTGAGTGGTGTAATCAATCCCGCTCAATCAAATGTTTGTTCAAATACGTTAACAAGGGGCATGATAGGGTTACCGCTGAATTCTACAAGACGAATGTTGATGAACAACATGGTACCGTTGTGAATGAAATAAATATGTATTACGACTATAGATACATTTCACCATGTGAGGCATCATGGCGTCTGTTTGGATTTGAGATACAACATAAGAATCCAGCGGTAGAGCGTTTGAGCTTCCATTTGCCAGAACAGCAGACGGTTGTGTTTGAAGATGATGATGATGCAATGGACGACGTTTTAAACCGCTCGTCTGTAGCGCACAACATGTTTCTAGAATGGTTTGAAACAAATAAAAAGTACCAAGAGGCAAGATCATTGACTTATGCTGAGATGCCCACAAAATTTGTTTGGAAGAAAGACGTAAGGCAATGGCATCCACGGAAAAAGGATTTTGCAATAGGGCGAATCTTCTACGTACCACTGGGCACTGGAGAAATCTATTATCTTCGGTCTTTATTGAATATAGTGCGTGGTGCAACGTGTTTTGAAGATCTAAAAATAGTAGCCGGTCAAACGCATGTTTCTTTTAGAGAAACGTGTTATGCTAGAGGGTTGTTAGATGACGACAAAGAGTATGTTGACGCGGTAAACGAAGCAAGTAAATGGGCATCAGCTCATGCTCTGAGAAAATTGTTTGTTACACTCCTGACTTCCAACTCAATTGCAAAACCAGAGACTGTATGGGAAGCGGTGTGGCATCATTTAGCTGATGACGCGCAATTTAATACTAGACATCTAACGGAAGATCCAGATTTGAATTTTTATCAATCTAATACAATAGCATACATTGTATAATGTGTGATTGTGTTTTTTATAATGTAATCCGTTTAACTACTATACCGTTGTATTTTTCAGAACTAATCTTGACCGAACAAGAACGAAAGAACTATGCATTGAATGAGATAGAACAATTGCTAGCCGTGTGGGGCAGGACCCTAAAAGACTTCCCATACATGCCTATTCCGGATTATGGTGCATCCAGACTTACATCTAATAGACTTATATATGAAGAACTTTCATATGATCGTGAAGCGCAAAGGCTTGAGAATGAACAATTAGTTAGCCAATTAACAGACGAGCAGCAACATATCTACAACGCAATTATGGCAGATGTTGATGCAAAGGCAGGAGGGTTGTTTTTTGTGTATGGTTATGGAGGAACTGGTAAGACTTTTCTATGGCGAGCACTTTCTTCATGCATAAGATCAAGAGGTAAAATTGTTCTAAATGTTGCATCTAGCGGTATAGCATCATTACTGCTACCTGGTGGACGTACAGCCCACTCGAGGTTTGCTATACCTATCAACATAAATGAGGACTCCACTTGCAACATTAAACAAGGTAGTCCATTGGCAGTATTAATCGTGCGTTGCAGTCTTATCATTTGGGATGAAGCTCCTATGATGCACAAACATTGCTTCGAAGCATTGGACAAGACAATGAGAGATTTGCTAAGGTTTCAAAATCCTGGTAGTTTGGAAATGACCTTCGGTGGGAAGACAGTTGTACTTGGTGGAGACTTTAGGCAAATATTTCCAGTTATTCCAAAGGGGACAAGGCAAGATATTATCGGAGCAACAATCAATTCATCGTACTTATGGAAAAATTGTAGAGTATTGAGGTTAACAAAAAATCTTCGGTTGCGTAACATCCAAGATGATGTGGACTATCACGAAGTAGAAGATTTCGCCAAGTGGATAACTGAGATTGGTGACGGTGTTGTAGGGATAGCAAATGATATTGATTGCGATATATCTATACCGCAACAGAATGTATTGCACTGTGGGGATGATCCGATTGCTACAATAGTTGAATCTACGTTCCCTAATTACCGTAGTGCAAACTATGATCAATCTGTTCTTGAAAACCGTGCTATTTTAGCTCCAACATTGGATGTGGTTCACATCATTAATGAGTATATGAATGGAATGAATGAATCCGAAGGTAGAACATATTTGAGTTGTGATTCAGTGTACAAGTCCGATTCAAATGTGGATATGTTGTCAGACTTGCACACACCTGAATTCTTGAATGGAATCAAATGCTCGGGTATTCCAAACCATTGTCTTACACTAAAGGTAGGCTCTCCAGTGAAGTTGTTAAGAAACATTGACCATTCATTAGGCCTTTGTAATGGTACTCGGTTGATTATTACCAAATTGGCTGATTGGGTTATAGAAGCGAAGATTATGTGCGGAGCTCATATAGGAATAAAAGTTTTAGTTCCTCGAATGTCACTAACACCTTCAGATCCAAGACTACCATTCAAATTTTAGATGAAACAATTCCCTTTGATGCTTTCTTATGCAATGACAATCAATAAAAGCCAGGGGCAAACATTAGCACACGTTGGTTTGTTTTTTAAAAACCCGTGTTTAACCATGGTCAAATGTATGTTGCAATTTCAAGAGTAAGTAGTCCGAGGGGGTTAAAAGTCTTGATTTGTGGGGAGAATGGAGAGTTTGTCTGTACGACCAAAAATGTCGTATATAAAGAAATTTTCAACAATTTGTAATTTATTTATCTATTTGTTATTGAATAATTTATAACTTATAATTTGCTTTCATTTTTTTTATTACTATTATACGACGATAATCTTGAATTACTAATAGGCCATATTTAATGACTGTGCATCGCACGGGTAAGTTACTAGTATTAGTAATATTCCTTATATTTATGGTTTAGCTGCTATTCTTGATTCAAATGTGGGTATAAATGGATTAAAAGGTTTATTAGATTTTATTATAGCTCTTTACATTTTCCAAATTATGTTCAACGTGTTCAAAAGTATATTGAGGATTGTTCTTATTTGTTAAAAATTTTATATGAAGGATATTCTTTTATTTATGCACCACAATTTGTTGATCTCGTTGCTGTCCGTAAGAGTAAGTGGCATAACCATATTGTTTCAACAATATTAAAAAGATCAAAGGGTTGTGGTAGTGGTAATTCTTTTGAAATAGATACACATTTGTCTTCTAATTTTAAATAAATGATGATTTTCATATAATAACATTTTGGAAAGGAAACGAAACAAAATTTCTTATTTTGTCAAAAATTGCAAATGATATTTTTGCATGTCCTGCTTCAACAGTTGCATCTGAGTCTGCTTTTAGTGGCGACAAGAGAGTATTAGACAATAAAAGATCAAGTTTGGCATCAGATTCCATCAAATTTTGTTTCATGAAGAAGGATTGGGACACTGCCGAAGAATGCACTCAAGATCAACTTGCACTAATTGAAGATGATGACATAGATGAATGGTTAGCCATAGATACATCATGTGAAGCCACGCCTATTGCTAGTTGTCGTGCAACCTCCGTCGATACTTCCGATCAAGAATGAAAATGAGCTAATCCAATGAGGTATGTACCAAGAACTACGTGGGCTTTGATTCCTCTAAATTATTGAGGATACGTAGACATCTTAATTTCTAAATGATTATAAAAATAAAGAACTACATGAATTTTGATTGCTCTAAATTATTGAGGATACGTAGGCATCTTAATGTTTCTTAATATTAAGAGCAAACCCAATTTAAAAGTCTTTTATAAATTTTTAATTTATCAATCTAACATAATTTAGTGACTAAAAATCAAATAAAGCTTATAAACTATAATACATTTTATAATATTTATAAGTTATCAAATAATATTAAGTCTTATATAAATTTTAATTTAGTAGAAAATCATGTTAATTTTTAATTTTGAGATTAATAATTAAATTATTATTTTTAACAAAAATATTAATTTTGAAAAAGTGTGTGCCTAGTATATATATAAAAATTATTATTAATATATCAAGAAGTCGAAGTAGCTTAATTGAAAAGAACTTAAATTAATAATTATGAGGTTAAGAGTTTAAATCTCATTTTAAACAAAATACTTCAATTTATAAAAATGGGAAATGTACAAATAGGCCATTGAACTAGGAGATATCAATTAAGCCACCGAAGGTCCAAATTCATCCATGAACCTAAATTTTTGCTGATTGGGATGTCATGTGTATTTTTTATTTTACAGTTTGTTATTATTATTATCCTACTAAGCATTTAACTCTAAAAAAAAAACCTAAGATATTTGACCCTCAACTATAACTCAGGCCACAAGTAACTCTCCGGCAACATTTTTTCCACGAAATCCGACGCTGGAATTATTGCCACGTCGATACATGTGTTGCCAGAAATTAAAAACAACAACATAAACATAAAAATGGGGCATTATATTAAAACTCTGGATTGAAATCGAAGAAATAATATCCCAGATTGAATTCAATTCTGCAACGACATATACTAAAGGATATATATTATTTGATAGATTATTGTATTTATTACTATATTTATGGTTTCTTTGAAGAATAAATGACGATGGAAATTGATGGGGGTTTCACGGAAATAGAAAGCAAGCACGCAAGCTGGGGGATTGAGCTTGAGGAGAGAGGGAGATCGATTGGAGAAATCTCTCAGGCCCAATCTCCTACTTCTTCCCCGGAGATGGAGATGATTAAGTAAAATAGAAAGAGATACGAGAGAGAGAGGAATAGGGTGGGATGGCAAGAAATATTAGGAAAAGAATTTTTTTCGGCAAAAAATGTATCGGCGTGACAAGAATTTCGGCGTTGGATTTTGTGGGAGGAATGCTGTCGGAAAATTACTTGCACTTCTTGAGTTATAGTTGAGGGTCAAATATCTTAATTTTTTTTGGTCAAATACTTATGCTTAGGATGATGATGATGGTGGTGGTGGTGGTGGTGGTGGTGGTGGTGGTGGTGGTGGTGGTGGTGGTGGTGGTGGTGGTGGTGGTGGTGGTGGTGGTGACGGTGACGGTGACGGTGACGGTGACGACGACGACGATGACGATGACGATGACGATGACGATGATGATGATGATGATGATGATGATGATGATAATAATAATAGTAATAGTAATAGTAATAGTAATAGTAATAGTAATAGTAATAGTAATAGTAATAGTAATAATAATAATAATAATAATAATAATAATAATAATAATAATAATAGTAATAATTTTGAAAGGAATAATAAAATGTAAAATAAAAAATACACATGGCATCTCAATCAGCAAAAAACTGCAAAAATGCTAATTACATTTTTTTACAGGTTCATGAATGAATTTCGAGCTCATTCGAGTTGGATGACTTAATTGTTATCCCTCAAATAGTTCAATGACATATTTATATATTTTTCCTATAAAAAATTATATATTTAAAAAATATAAAAAAATTCTAAACTTAATCCGAGATTGACTCACAAGAGGTCCGACGCAGACCCGAGACCAACCTTGAATATTATGGGCCAGTCTCGAGCTGTGCTGACTGAAGCCCGGGCTCGGGGGTTTCGGCCACCTTTACTAGATGTATGTAGCCTCTTGTACTACCGAAGGCGATAGAGTTGGTTTTTGTGGACGTCAGGAATGACGCGGGAGGTACGTTCTTAGAACTACGTGGCGTTCTATAATTTACTTTGTTTTATTTTAAATATTAAATTTCTTAATTTTTAGCGGCGGCATCTTGTATTGAAGCACTAATGTGTATTCATGGTTTCTTCTTTTCTCGCTGTACCTAATAGACTCATCATACGCACATTGAACCCGATCAAACTCACCAACCCTTGTCATCTTCTTCAACTCCCCTTCCCCTTCCCCTTCAAGGTAAATCAGTTTTCTGATTCAACTTATGTGAACTGTTTCTCACTCTGTATGCTTAATTATTTGTTTTCTAAATTTTGGGAATAAAACGGAATTGTTGTGATTGCTGAAATAAAGAGGGGGAAAAGGCGAGAAAGGCCAATCAGATTGCTGAAATTAATGGTGCAAATCAGGGGTTTGAAGCAGAAAGATCAGTTTTATTATTATTGTTGTTATTGTTGTTCATCATTTGTAGCAATTCAGCTATTTGTACTATGTATAGATGTTTTGCGGTTTAATTTTAGTAACCAACTAACATGTAAAATGACTTGCAGATATTTTATTAGAAGTATTTATTTAAATCTTCTTAAAATACTTTTAATTTTAGATATTAATTTCATAAGAATAGATGTTTTAAAATAATTATTATTAAACTTTTATTATGTTGTTGATAATGATGTTATAATTATTTAGATAATACGAATAATCCATATATTTTTTTAAAAAAATTTGTGTAGGAAATTAGGTTTTGAATAGTAGGGAAGTAGGTGAGTAAGATAGCAATTGGCAGGAGAAGTAATTTTCACCAACTAGTGTGTAAAGTAGTATTTTTGACCAAAAAAAAAAACAATTCAATTTGCCAATAACAATCAGTGGATTGATTGTTATCCACTAAGCCAATTGCTAATTCTCGAGAATCTATTTTTAATATTTGATCAAGTCAAACTGCTCATGACTATTTTTGAGATATTACAAATGCCTAATTTGTTGAAGGATTACATCTGCTGTTGTAATTACGAAAGTTTGAGTATTTTCAATCAAATTAGGCATACCAAGTTACCAATGCTGAATTTAGATTCTTTTATGTGAGTCATTGCCGTGCTTAGAATGTAGAATATTTATGTAACATAATCTTTTCTGTTCCTTAATGCTGAAGTCAAATGAATGTGATGAAAGGATACTAAATGTCTGATTTTGCTGCATTTTATAGAGCTCCCTTCGAATGGCACATTCTGCTCTGGATGAGATGTCAACAACTGGTGCTTTTGAGAGAACTGCATCCACTTTCCGTAATTTGATTTCACGAGACCCCAATGCTACTTTCCCAGCAGAAGCTGGTAGGTATCATCTCTACGTGTCGTATGCCTGTCCTTGGGCATCAAGATGCCTTGCATACTTGAATATCAAAGGGCTTGAAAAAGCTATTAGTTTCACTGTAAGTGACATTGTAAACTCTAAATTTTTAATGCATTCGATTCAAATTCTGACACTAACAAGCTGCTCAATTTCTATTCTTTACGTTAAGTCTGTTAAACCCATATGGGCGAGGACAAAGGACACTGATGAGCACATGGGATGGATTTTTCCTTCTTCAAGTACCGAAGAACCTGGAGCTGAGCCTGATCCTTTGAGTGGTGCCAAAAGTATAAGAGAGCTCTATGAGCTTGCAAGTTCTAATTATGCAGGGAAGTACACAGTTCCTGTATGTACACTGCACACTGACCCTTATTCTTTGATACCCATCAATTGTTTCAGAGTTTTTTGTTTTTCTTAAAACAGATTTATGTTTTCTTTCTAATAGGTTCTTTGGGATAAGAAACTCAAAACCATTGTAAATAATGAGAGCTCGGAGATAATTCGCATGTTTAATACTGAATTCAATGGCATAGCAGAAAATGCAGCCCTGGATCTTTATCCTCCTCATTTACAGTCCCAAATCAACAGCTTAAATGAGTGGATATATGATGGGATAAACAATGGAGTGTACAAATGTGGATTTGCTAAGAAGCAAGAGCCTTACAATGAGGTAATTCTCAGTTCTTTTCTCCTATTCTCACACCTTCGAACCTAAAATGTGGAGAAACCAAAGAAGAAAAGAGTGAAGAAAATAGAGAAACATGCACCAAGATCTAAAAGTTCCATGTGTTTAAGGCTTTCATTGATGAATTTTGCTTAAATTTTTTCTTATAATCTTCGTGCAGGCAGTGCAAAAGCTGTATGAAGCTTTAGATAAATGTGAGCACATTCTCAGCAAACAAAGATATCTGTGTGGAAATCAAGTGACTGAAGCTGATATCCGCTTGTTTGTCACCCTTATTCGGTTTGATGAGGTATGTGTGCTTTATGTTCCATGAAGTCTAAGCTTTAACTTTTTGTTGTGCTAATCTGCTCTGATGTACTTCATATAAAATGACAGGAAAAAGTATAGTTAAATGTAATCATAGTTTTATTTAATTCAAAATCTGTGGCAAGTCTGATTGTTACAGTGAAGTGTCTATACTTGGTACAGCTTAATTACAATTGGAAGCCATTCTTGACTTAAAATCCCATGATAGAGAAAGTTCTTATTCATTCTTTTGACAGATCTCCTTTTCAAGTTGGGTAATAATGTTTACTCTAAAATCGCCCTGTTGGAATTACTGTTTCCATCAAGTTCAAAAGCATTCAGACCTGGTGCTTTTACCAGATTTATCACTTGAACTCTGCCTTCTCACACCACCAAGCCTACTTAGGAAGCCTAACACATCCCTATATATAATCAAATGGCCACATGGATATATTGGTTGTTTGTAGAAATCTGCAAAACATCTTAATAGACTGAAATTCAGCACTTATATGAGGCTTGATATGGATACTGTGTAAAATGCCAGAAGAAAACCAATCTACCATCTTAAAACTGCTCATATGCCCGTAATTCAAGCCTTCAAGGCATTGGTGCACATATGGTAAACCTCACTGCAGAAGTGAAACATATACCCTGTTTTGGTAAAATAGTTAGCCTATCAGCCAATTTTGGCTTATTTGACCACTATTAGTTGTTTGACTTAGTTAAACAATCAATATGAGTGTTTGATTAATTAGATTTTTTGTAACAACTTATTGCTCTAAAATACTAAAGTTCAAAAAGCTGCTCAAAGTAGCTTTTTCGATTAGGTTTTTGAGAAAGTCATTTTGCATGTAATCAGCTATCCGCTAACAGCTAATTTACCAAACACTTTTTCTACCATCAGCTAATGCTATCAACTAGTCAAACCCACTAACTCAATCAGCTAACAGCTAATAGCTATTTACCAAACACCCCCATTGACTGATATAAACATATTGATATGCATTAAAGTAATAATGCATAAAGCTTCACTTGCTTTCTTCAAGTTCATCTAATGAGTCTTTCTAACATTTACTTTGAGATGGAGGTATCATACAAGTGAAGTTCTTGGTTTCTGCAGGTGTACGCTGTTCACTTCAAGTGCAATAAGAAGCTGCTACGCGAATATCCAAATCTATTCAATTACACCAAAGACATTTTCCAGATCCCGGGCATGAGCAGTACAGTTAACATGGAGCACATTAAGAAGCATTACTATGGAAGTCATCCATCCATCAATCCATTTGGAATCATCCCACAGGGTCCAAATATTGACTATACTTCTCCCCATGATAGAGAGAAGCTGTCTGTCTAAATAGGAAAGCATGTAAGTCTTGTTCTATTATGTTGTTCATATTTCTCTACTTTTTCCTACCTGTTGTAATAAAGGATTTCCCGCTTGTGTAGTTGTAAAACAGTGTTGTATGATTCTATCGCCTATCAGATTATAATCATAAGCTTGAATTATGCAGAATTCATGTTTACATTGTGGCCTGTTTACTAACTGAACAATACTTTCAATTTTTCGGAAAACTTGTGAAAAGAAAATAAAAAAATATTTGCAGAGTTTTCCATTTTGAAAACTAAAAATACTTTTTTAGATTTCTAGGAAACTAGAGATTTTTTTTCTACTTTTCAATCTTTATCACACACTTGATTATATATCTACTATTATCTCTACATTCCAATCACATTCTCATCTTTATTTACATTTATCGATTACTATGATTAAATTTAGGAATAAGGGTTAAATATGTCATTCAATTACACACAAATTTGCAATTGGGTTATCGAATTAAAAAAAAAAATTGCAATTGGTTCCTTCAGTCCCTGAACAATACAAAATCATGCAATTTAATCAAAAGTGACTTGTTTACTTGTTGATAGTTGATGTGACAGTTATTTGCCTCCTTGCCCTTTGTTTTCATGCTGGTGACGAAGGGCGGGGAGGGGGATGGAGATTTTTTTAAAAATACTAATTTAAAATTATTAAAATAATTTTTTCAATTTTTTTTAATTCATTAATTTAAAATTATTAAAATAATTTTTTCAATTTTTTTTTAATTCATTAATTGCCATGTCATCCATTAACAGAGGCAAACATGTCAATTTTTGTTTAATTGCATGATTTGCGTTATTCAGGGACCTAATTATAGTTTCGTGTGTAGCTTGATGACCTATTTGACGTTTATTCCTTATATTTAATATCATCTTCTTTTACTTATCACCATCTTTTATCATTTCCCCTCTCATCTTCTTATATAAAAATAATTTAAGTTAAGCATTATCCACATTATCAAAATTAAAACTAGAAATCAAACCAATTTTTAAATTTTTCAAATAAATTATTGATTTGTATATTTTTAATATTGTTATATCGTACGGAGTAAGTCATTACATAAGTTTGGTCTAGATATCATATATTAAAATTTCACATATATAATACTTAGAAATAAAAATTATATATATGTTTTACTGAAACAAATATATTCAAAAATATTTTAAATATTAGTCCAAAAACACATTCATCTTATCTAAAGTAAATTTAGATGAACTCAAGAGATTATTGATTTTGATTTTTTTTAGTTATGTTATATCTAATATAAATTTGGTTTGATATCCAATGTTAACAGTTTATATATATTAGATTCAAAAATAAAAATTATATTTATTTCATTTCAATAAAACATATTCAAAAATATTTTATATATAAGGTCTAAAAAATCACTTGGAATTAGAATTATGACAATTTAATAATGTTATAGTTTTTAGTTTTAAATTTTCTTTTTGAAAAATGAGTGAGTAAACAAGTTTCCTAAACATAAAGAATAAGGGATAAGAGTCAAATAGACCCTTCAATTATAAGAAAAAGTACAATTACCCCCTTAAAATAAAAATAAAAAAGTTTCAAATAGACACTTTAACTTCTCATTTTTACACAATTAACTTAATTAACAGGTTGCCTCTAGGTAATCGGTAATTTTTTTTTTTTAAATTGTAAAAATTAATTAAAATTAAAAAAAAAATTAATTCAAATAAAGTAATTAATTTTATTTTTAAAAAAAATCCTCCGGACCGGCTTTTGTAACACCCCATTTTTCTTAAACTTAATTAACAGACTAAATTAACCTTTAAAGATTAACTAAAACAGCGGAATAAACTTACTAAACAACTTAGTAGAGGTGTCACCGCCACAATCACCCTTCACGGTGATTGCACAGGCTGATGATAACATCTAAAATCATAAAAAGTCTTACTAAATATCAAACAAGCTAGGGGATAAATCTCGGTGTCCAGCACCATGAAGAAAACATAGGGTAGTCAACTACAATTCTCAGGAAAATAAATCATCATCAAGAGTTTTAGACTACAAAGCTATCTAGTCTAACTCGTATTCTCTCTCACGATCTGGGCCCACCTGAAAGGGGTTAACAAACAACAAGTAGAAAACAAACCCGTTAGCACGAAGCTAAGTATAACTCCACTCAACCCTGTAAAGTACTACAGTATATACTTTTGGAAAACATTTGTTTCACATACTAATATCAAACATTCTCAAATCACTCAACAACAGTTTATCATTCTCAACAGGGTTTCTAAATGCTTGCAACCAAATCACCAAATAGGCATGCATTCACAGTTATCTAGCTTCATCAAGCTCATACTTTCACATACTTAACTTATCCATGACCTCAAGTCTATCTAACATCTCAGTAAAAATCTCATGTTAACACATAACTTAATAAGCAATCTTGTGCTATCATATAATCTTAAATCAATCTCATGCTATTATATAATCATCATGCAAGCTCATGCAATCATACTCATTATAAAAGCATTTATATACTCATCATGCAATCTAGTGCAATCATACTCATTATGCATCTCGTGCAATCATACTCATTATGCAATCTCGTGCAATCATACTCATTATGCAATCTCGTACAATCATACTCATTATGCAATCTCGTGCAATCATACTTGATCATGCTATAGAAATGAACATGATGCTTTTAGTAAAAGTATAGATAAATATACATATACACTCTTTTGTAAAAGAATACTTTTTCTTATGGAGGTTTCTTAGAGTCACAATGACTCGCTTTCTTTCTCTCGAGTCTCTTGACTCGATTGCTTTCTTAATCACAGGCGAGGTAGGACTTCACCATAAGGTGGATAGACCTATCTCAGCTCGGCGTCTAGCCGGCCTAATACTCATCTCGCCCGTAGAACCACTCTATTGGTTCTTTTATCAAACTCTGTGGAATCAGGTATCGAACTATTAGCGTGCATACCCCCTGACCAGGATTCCAAGCCTAGCGGGCAGTTTCCAACCTAGTAACTCAAGAATATCTACCTCGTTACTTCATATCGGATCGCAGTGTCCGTTTCTTGCCGGTTTTTAACCGATCTTGCTTGGTTTTCTTCCTTTCAATATTGCCGGTTCTTAACCGAACTTGCTTTGCTTTCTTTCTTTCAATATTGCCGGTTCTCAACCGATCTTGCTTTTTCTTCCGAAAGGACATAGTCCTAACGGGCCTCCAAAATACTATTTGCCTCACAATAGATAGCATATATATCTTATGCAATTTCTTTGTGTATGCAACTTATGCATATTACTTCTCACAATTTCTCAATGCAACAAGAAGGTGACTTTCTAGAATAGATATGAGTCTTTGAAAATAATACTTAGGCTCACTTTGGCCATTTATGCATTTTAAAACATGATATGCTCACATATGCACTCTAATGTAGAATGAACTTCAAATATCTTATCATTGTGAATTCTCAACAACTTTATAAACATGCTCATAAATCATAATTTAGCAATCCATCATTAACAAACACTTAGCAAGTACTCAACATGCTATTGAACTCAAAATGCTCAACATAATCTTGTTTACTGTAAACATGCTCTGTAATCTTGTAATAATATTGGCAATCATCTCAACAAGTCAATTAGACATCTAGGCATGCGTTTCTAGCAAAACTTAACAAATATTGATCATATTCTATTATCTAACATTCATATAATTCTCATGCTTCTTCAATAAATAGTCAAAACCAACACTTAGCAATTTCTTCACTGTAAACCTTCACAACAATTCTTTGTAACATTCTTCTTCACAAATTCTAACACAAAATACTCATTTCTACTTCAAATTTCATGAAATCAATTTCTAAACGTGCGTTGTAACGGCCTCGAGTGTCCGAGCCTCAAGGGCCCGCGAGTCCCGGTCCGAAACGACACATAGCTGAGCTACCAGGGCCCAACCACTGCACTATAATCTGCTAAGCGAGGCTTGAAGAGCCCCGCGGCCTAGAGCTGCCAAGCGACGGCCTAGGGCCACGGCTCTTGCCTAGAGCTGTGCCCTAGGGCCGCCCCTCCACGGCCCTAGCCAACGGCTCCCTCCTAGGGCCGTTGGCTAGTCCCGCCTCTCATTTGGTGCACACTGTGTTGTGCACCAGTGAGCTTCCTCTTCACCTGTAAGACATTTTCAGGTAGATAACCACTCTAAAACATCAACAACACATCTAAACTCAGCAATAGCACATTCTACTAACTCAAACACACATTATTCTAACATTTTTACTCATTTTTAAGCACAAACAAATGACTTCACAGAGTCAAAAATAGATTTGGGAGTCCATGGGGTTATACACTTTATAGGTCAAAAGTTCTTAGTAAAATCTTTCTAGGGATACATAGTATTTCCCAAAATATACAATGTTAGTAACTAAATAGCTTTAGGGAAATGATAGCATAAACTTCAAATATCTTTATAATCAAATGTATACCTCATACATTATGAGTATATATGTTTTGAGAAATGTTATACTTGATTTTGAGAATATATATTCATTTATACTACTTTAATTGGCTGACACAATTGTCATGTCAAACATGAATTGTATATGTTTTGCTAATTTTTATTTCATGAGTTATTATGTATCCATATTGAAAAGTGAAAAATATCAAATGAATTAAAGAAAACTCTATTTAGTTACAAAATTTTTCGTTATATATTATTTTTAAAAAAATCACTTAAGCTATGGATCAAATTCAATGTATTTTTTGAATGTCCATGTGAGACAATAGTGTAGGCCTTATTAGAGTTGTACGTATCTTATAACACATTTATGTGAATTTAAAAAAGAAAAAATATACTAGAATCATAATTTTGGTATCGCACGAGCTACTAGCATTGTGCATATATGCACGCACTAAGCACGTTGGCTGGCGTGTGAGGTTGATGCGATTATGTTGGTCCGTTGGTTGAATGTTGAAATGGCATACCCACCTAGGAATAGGATGACACAAATGATAGCTTTGTTGAAGAAACCTGTATAGCCCCCAATCTAGACTTTTTCTTCCTAAGCTATCAATAAATAAATAAATAAATAAATACATACATACAGAGTAAGGTTCAAGTGCGGCGATATCATTAGATGCGGCGGTGCGACGTCACCAAT